GCAAGAAGGGGGTATAAGTGCCCTGTATGCTAGTGGTTAAACGAAAATCGTACGATCTGGTATTGTACAGGGAAAATGTTTGTGCTTGTCCCTTCGAATAATTTTGGACGAAAGCTGTGTACTGACAATCAGATTATCGTACCACTGCTTCGAAAGTGGTATTTTTCGTACGATTTTCTGACTATGTGTACTAGGCTTAAGGGAATACATGGGTCGAATTCTGAATTGATTTTTCTTTAGAAATTCAGAAATGTTGTGCGTTTTGTAATGCAATGGTGCCACCATTGATTTTGAAATTTGACCTACCAAGCCTTCAATTTCACCTCATTTTGCTAAATAAAAGAATTTTTGTGGCTGGGAATCTTCTTTTCTTTCCAGTTCACAGCTCGTGTTCATTTCTTTTTTGATGATATTTCTCACACAATTCTCCCATCATTGATTAGAAATTCATTTGTTTGTTAAAAAAATTTCCAGCATGCCCTCCTCATTGAAATGCATGGAAATCTCTGCAAAAAACGCATCAGTTTCCTGTTTTTATTGTGGTTTTTGAGTCACGTCCTGTGTAAAACACACGCAAATACATGTGCATTTTTAAGGCATTTTTGCTACGGATCAGTGTGAAAGTAACATAAAACCCTTTCTTTCATTCATCCCATCACAAGTAAAGTATCGAACTTCCAGTGCTAAACCTTACAGCCCTGATTCTAGCACAGTGATAACAGTGGGTTGCTTGTACACCCCCCCTTCTCCATTCACAAAACATTTTGGAGTCTTTACACACAATACAGGGCATTCTGTGGTTGGATGAGGGGAGGGGCATATGAATGTCATGATCTACCCTGCTTTAGGCTTCATACAGACAGGATGTTTTTTTTTTTTCCCTCCCCTAGTCTTTGTTCCAGGGGAGGAAAATTCACCCTAACCAGTTTCCCTCTGCCCTATAGGACTCCCTACGCAAAATCACACACACATATATATATATATATATACACACATACAGTATATATACGTAATCAGCGCTCCCGTCGTGCCTGCCGGTGCTGTGATTCAGTACAGCACCAGTCACTCAACAGATTGAGTCCAATGATGTTTGGCCTGGACCTGCTGATTGGCTGTACCGAATCAGAGGTCTTCCTGTACCTGTGTTTACATTAGACAAGCACAGGAAATGTTGCAATCTTTTCTCTCCCTGGAGCACATTCCGTTCCAGGGAAAGAAGAAAGCAGATCCACATGAGTAAGAGCACTACACTTTCACAGTAGAAGCACGGCTAGGTTGCATTTGACCCTTTCACTGCCCTATCACCAGTGTCACTAGTACAGTGTACAGATTTCTTTACTGATCACTGTATTAGTGACACAGTGACTTCAGATAGCATTAGCGTCAGTTAGTGTCCCTTCCAGATAGCGTCAGATTTCCTGCCACTACATCAGTCATCACATTTAACCCTCTGATTGCCAGGAACACGCTCTCACATACACAATAAACCTCCATTGTTAGTATAGTGTCTAAACAGATCATTATCTTTGATCAGATTAGCACTATACCAGCATTCACATTAGTATAGTATCCCCAAAAATGCAGTGTTAGCGGGATCAGCCCCGACACCTGCGCAGCTCAGGTTCCTGCTATGGTTTCTGGAGGCCTGCAATGAGAGGGTGAGCATTTTTGGCCCTTGCTGGCCCATGGCCCAGGATCGTATGCACAGTAACAAAAGCCTAACTGCTATCAAGTAAAGAAAAAACATCACTGTGTGACCATATCAGCTGATCAGCTTCTCCCCCTAGGAGGATCCTTTGCTGGTTTTGCATAGCCCTGACCCTGGAGAAGTCCAGTCTCTATTTATGGCTTCCTGAGACCCCCCCATAAGGATCAGCATTAACGCTAACATACAAGTAGTAGTCTTGTGAGTGCACATCCATACAAGGTGGTGGGTTCCCATGTTGGATCATGAGCACTCTCAAGCATCCCAGCTGGTATTGCTGCACCTTGTAGTTCCACGATCACTGGGCATTGCTGTGATCTGTAGTGCCACGGACTAGTTATAATCACTATTGCTGAAAAGCACTCACGTACCACTTGGCACTTCTGTGACCTGTAGTGCCATGGACTATTTATATTCACCATTTATGTTCAGATTATAAGAGATTTTTTATGATCTGAGACATTCTATTAAAATTATGTCACTTGAATACATATGAACACTATTATTCACATTTATGATTGCATTTGTCACTTATAACGCTGCACTTACATTAGAATTGATCACCTGTAAACAACTTGTACACAGGCCATTGGCTGTATTGTTTCCACTTTCAACATTTTTATAAATATGTATCTACAATAGACTCATTACATAAAGATCTAACCCCTTTTGAATCACTCTGTATGAGGAGTTCGATGTGCTCACGTGCAATTTCAACAATATATGGCATATTACTATCTCATACATACCCACATTGACCTTATTATACTAGAGACTGGGAGAGAGAATTGGGCCCTATGTTAAACGAGAGGGAGTGGAAAAGATCCTTCAGGCTAACGTTTAAATCAGCATCTCAACTTACATATAGAAGAAAAATTATGAATACCTACAAGGTGGTATAGGTGTCCAGTGGGAATACATAGGATAATCCCGACCAACCCTGAAAAGTGTTGGCACTGTGAGGAGGATGAAGGTACAATGACTCATGTATGGTGGTCCTATCCTATTCTAGGATTACATCACCTTGGGAAATAGTATGTTGGATTTGCTCACATCTTATTAATTGCCCCAGAAATAGCATTATTATCTATTTTTTCCAGAATCTGAAAGCTTCAAAAAGAGGATTGTCCTGTTATTTATTCTCTGCAGCATGTACAGTAATACCAAGGTATTGAAATACTCAGGTTGTCTGTGTCTGCTCCATTAAGGAGTGGATAGATGAAATAAACCGATTAACCACTTGCCATCCTGAGGATTTACCCCCCTTAATGACCAGGCCTATTTTTGCTACTCGGCGCAGCACTAATTCAACTGATAATTGCGCGGTCATGCAATGCTGTACCCAAACGAAATTTACGTCCTTTTTTCACACAAATAGAGCTTTCTTTCGGTGGTATTTGATCACCTGTGTGTTTTTTATTTTTTGCGCTATAAAAAAAAAAAGGCTGACAATTTTGAGAAAAAAAAAACAATATTTTGGACTTTTTGCTATAAAACATGTCCAGTAAAATTTTTTTTTTATTTTTCACGCTATAAACAAAAAAAGACCAAATATTTTGAAGAAAAACCAATATTTTTTACTTTCAGCTATAAAAAATATATACTAAACTCAAAGTTATAAATTTAGGCCAAAATGTATTCAGCTACGTTTTTGGTAAAACAAATCCCATTTAGTTTAGCATCTACAAACTATGGTATAGATACTGCAATTTACGCCATTTTTTTTTGCTATACAGCGCTGTGCTAGTTTAACGGACAATTGCGCGGTCATGCAATATGGTACATAAATTAAATTTTTTGTCCTTTTTTTCACACAAATAGAGCTTTCTTTTGGTGGTATTTGATTGCCTGTGTTTTTTTTATTTTTTGCGCTATAAAAAAAAAAAGGCTGCCAATTTTGAGAAAAAAAAAAACAATATTTTGGACTTTTGCTATAAAACATGTCCAGTAAAAAAAAAAAATTAAAAATCAAATTTCGTCATAAATTTTGTCCAAAATGCATTTTGCGACATGTCTTTGCTAAAAAAAAAACCCCAATACGTGCAAATTAATTGGTTTATGTGAAAGTTATAGCGTTTACAAATGGCGGGAAAGATACTGGGATTTTTAATTTTTTTTTTATACTAATAATGGTGGCGATCAGCGACTTATGGCGGCGATCAGTGACTTATGGCAGCGATCAGCGACTTATGGCGGGACTGTGGGACGGCGGCGGACATTCTGACACTGGGGGGGAACTGACTTGGGGTCACTGACATCCCCAGTAACACCAATACAGTGACTTATGGCGGCAGTGATCAGGGCAAAAAAAATATACTGACACTGTACTAATGGCACGGAAACGACCGGCTGTGACCCGGCGACTGACATCCGCGGCTGTGATCGGCGGGACAGGTAGAGCAGTGGCGCGCCTCGCGCGTGCCCCCTACCTGTTTTGCAAACACATGTTTTAAAACGTGGTTTTGCCCAGCCGTTGCTACCCTGCCAACGTATTTCTACAGTGGCTGGGCGGCATGTGGTTAAAGAGAATGGATTAACTAACAGCAACCATACATGATTGGTACCATAAACATCTGTCGCTGTGATTCCCTTGGGTCAAGTTTATGGGCTCTGACATCCTGAGATCATTTATGGAATAGTTTCCACACTTACCATATTTTTCGCTCCATAAGACCCAAAAAAGGGAGGAAAATGTCAGTGCGTCTTATGGAGCGAATATAAATCGGCCGGTCCGGTATTTCCGCCGCCACCATGTCAGAATACCGGGCCGGCCGCTCAGCTGTTCTCTGCTGCAGGACCTTACCTGTTCCTCAGTCCAGCGCTGCGCAGTCTTCCCGGGCCGGCATCTGTGACAGCCGGGTGCCCACTGCGCATGCGCGAGAAGCTCTGCGCTTTGTGAATGGTCTGGCGTCTTCTGGGACACATGACAGGTCCCAGAAGACGCCAGGCCATTCGCAAAGTCCAGCGTTTCTTGCGTATGCTCAGTGGGCACCCAGCTGTCACAGCCGGGTGCCCACAGTAAAGGGAGGACAACTCCACGGAAGTGGGAGCGGGTACCTGTCAAATTCAGGTACCGCTCCCCTCCCTCCCTAAAGGTCCACAGTTACTGGTCATCTCCTGTACTGTCTGCAGTCCCTTGTCATCCCCTGTATTGTCTGCAGTCTCTTGGTCATCCCCTGTACTGTCTGCAGTCTCTTGATCACCCCCTGTACCATCCGCAGTCTCTGGTCATTCCCTGTACTGTGTCCACAGTCCCAGGTCATCTCCTGTACTGTGTCCGCCCTGTCATACCCTGTGTCCGCAGTCTCTGGTCATCCCCTGTACTGTGTCCGCAGTCTCTGGTCATACTCCTGTACTGTGTCCGCAGTCTCTGGTCATCCCCTGTACTGTGTCCGCAGGTCTCTGGTCATCCCCTCTACTGTGTCCGCAGTCTCTGGTCATCTCCTGTACTGTGTCAGTCTCTGGTCATCCCCTGTACTGTGTCTGCAGTCTCTGGTCATCCCCTGTACTGTGTGCGCAGTCTCTGGTCATCTCCTGTACTGTGTCCGCAGTCTCTGGTCATTCCCCTGTACTGTGTCCGCACGTCTCTGGTCATCTCCTGTACTGTGTCCACAGTCTCTGGTCATCCCTGTACTGTGTCGCAGTCTCTGGTCATCTCCTGTACTGTGTCCGCAGTCTCTGGTCCATCTCCTGTACTGTGTCCGCAGGTCTCTGGTCCATCTCCTGTACTGTGTCCGCAGTCTCTGGTCCATCTCCTGTACTGTGTCCGCAGTCTCTGGTCCATCTCCTGTACTGTGTCCACAATCTCTGGTCCATCTCCTGTACTGTGTCCGCAGTCTCTGTCATTTCCTGTACTGTGTCCGCAGGCTCTGGTCATCTCCTGTACAGTGTCCGCAGTCTCTGGTCATCTCCTGTACTATGTCCGCAGTCTCTGGTCATCTCCTGTACTGTGTCCGCAGTCTCTGGTCATCTCCTGTACTGTGTCCGCAGTCTCTGATCATCTCCTGTACTGTGTCCGCAGTTTCTGGTCCATCTCCTGTACTGTGTCTGCAGTCTCTGGTCATTTCCTGTACTATGTCTGCAGTCCATTGGTTCAGAATATTTTTTTTCTTGTTTTTCTCCTCTAAAACCTAGGCATGTCCTAAGGTCAGGTGCATCTTATGGAGCAAAAAATATGGTACTTATGGAGCATTATTTATAAAATGGTGTTTATGGGAGATGCTCTATGGTGTGTTTGTGTTTTTGTATGTGTGGATATATGCACTTTTTTTCTCTCTTTTTTTCTTTTTCAAAACAACCACAGTTTTGAGTACTTTATTTTTTTTTTTTTGGTCAAACACATATATAGCACACGGGGTAGAAAAGTTGTTATAGTTGTACTATTTTTATGTCAATCAGAATGAAACTATAAAATTTAAAAAGGTATTTTGTATATAACTGTTTGTTAGTTGTTGGAAAATGATAATAAAATTTAATTATATAAAAAAAAGGATGATGCCTGCAGCTGCTGCATTCATTATCCTGGTATCTTTTTTATTAGCCGGCACTCAGCTTTCATGTAAAAGCAATCCTAGAGTCTAATTAGCCACAGGATTGCTTTTTCATGTAGCGAGAGGAGATGCTCCCCCTTCCACTGCTTTATCGGGCAGTCCTGTCCTATTGGGAAACCTGAGAATGCAGCCGGCGTTTCTGCCAGCTAACCATAGAGCTGATCGGAGACCGGAATGGCTCCAATCATCTCTATAGTCTAAGAAACCGGAAGCTAAGAGCATTTCATCAGCTCAGTTTTGCCAGATATAAACAGCATCATTTTTAAATTGGGAAAGCATGTGATCACACTGATCTTGGCAAGATTAGATGATTTAAGGGCAGAGGAGATATCCCAGAAAAGAATACCTGTCAATGCCTATTGCTATTACAGGGGATATTTACAATCCTTGTGATAACAATAAAAGTGATAAAAAAAATGAAAGGGGCAGTGTGAAAAAAAAAATTCAAAATAAATAATAAAAAAAAAAAAACTCCCTTGTCCTACCGCGCATGGGCGCAACGGCGTATGCAAGCGTTGGCCCCGTCAGTATGCAAACAGCAGTTGTACCATGCATGTGAGGTATTGCCGCAAACGTCAGATAGAGGGCAGTAATTCTAGCATTAGACCTCCTGTGTAAATCTAAAGTGGTAGCCTGTAAAGGCTTTTAAAGAGTCGCCTATGGATATTAACAATGTATGTCGTTTGTTGCTGTTGCACGGTGCAGTTTTAAAGCATGTTAGGTTGGTATCTATTTACTCGACATAACATCATATTTTATATTTTACCAAACAATTGGCCAATATATTGTGTTTTGTGCATTAAAATTCAAAAATGTGTATTTTTTTACCAAAAATATGCATTTGAAAAATTTCTGCGCAAGTACTGTGTGACATTAAAAATTGCAACACCCACCATTTTGTTCTCTAGGGTATCTGCTTTAAAAAAATATATAATGCTTGGGGGTTCAAAGTAATTTTCTAGCAAAAAATAGATTTTTTTTCATGTGAGCAAAAAGTGTCAGAAAAGGCTTGGTCTTCAATTGGTTAGAGTGAGTGTGTAGAATAAGCTTCTAATGCTGGGCATAAAATGCCAAGATAACACCCCAAATGACTCCTTTTTGGAAAGTAGACACCCAACACTATTTTCTGAGAGGCATGTTGATTCAATAGAATTTATTTTTTACCACAAGTTTTTGGAAAATGATAAAAAAAAAATATATATATTTTTTTTTTACACAAAGTTGTCACTTAAATGATTTATTGCTCAAACATGCCTTGGGTATATGTGGAATTACTCCCCAAAATACATTCTGCTACTTCTCCCGAGTCTGGGGGTACCCAATGTGAGAGACCTTTTGTCAGTCTAGCCAAGTACAGGACCCCAAAATCCAATAAGCACCTTCAGGCTTTTATAGGGCTTTATTTCCTCATTACACTTCCTGACTACCTATCACAGTTTCGGAGGCCCTGAAATGACAGGATAGTACAACCCCCTCCCCCCCAAAATGACCGCTTTTTGAAAAGTAGCAACCCCAGACTATTTGCTGAGAGGCATGTTGAGTCAATGGAATACTTTATTTTTTACCACAAAATGGCCTGGTCAGGAAAGGGCGTAAATCTTTCTGAGGCCAAGTGGTTAAAGAAGGGCATCTAAAGTGATGTCTGCCATGCACATTTAGCGTTAATACATTCTATTGTCCTGAATATCAATTTATTCTGCCCATTAGAATGCATTAACGTGCAAATGTGTGTAGGTGTTAAGGTGTGTTAAAGTGACACAAAAGAAATTAATTTTTTTTTTTTTTCAAAAAAACAAACATGTCATACTTAACTGCTCTGTGTAATGGTTTTGCACAGAACAGTCCCGATCCTCTTCTACTTGGGTTCCCAGCTGGTGCTCTGTGTTCCTCCACCCTGCCGAGTGCCTCCAGAGCAAGCTGATTGCTATGGGGGGCACTCGTGCATACTCACTCCCTAGCCCTGCTCTGTCTGTCCATGAGACATCAGAACAGGGCTTGGCACACCCCCTCCTCACTGGCTGTGACTGACAGCAGCGGGAGCCAATAGCTCCCGCTGCTGTCTCTGAACCAATGAGGGAGAGACCCGGTAGACCAGCTGCTCCCATGCACATCACTGAATTGGGCTCGGGCAAGTTTTGGGGGGGCTGCGAGAAAAGCTGCATACTGAAGGTTTTTTTATCTTCATGCATGGAATTCATGAAGGTAAAAAAAACTTTCAGGCTTTACAACCACTTTGATGTGTGTTTATGCACGCTTGTAATTTTTTTCTGCCAAAATGCTCCTCTTCTGAACACGCAAGTGATGTTTTGATTTTTTTCCTGCTTCTAAACACCTACAGTTGCAAGAAAAAGTATGTGAACCCCTTGGGATTACGTGGAGTTTTGCATGAATTGGGCATAAAATGTGCTCTGAACGTCATCTAAGTCACCACAATAGAAGAACACAGTCTGCTGAACATAATACTACACAAACATTAGATGTTGCCATGGTTTAATTGCACATAACATGTAAACATTCACAGTGCAGGGAGGAAAAAGTATGTGAGGCCCTAGCTTTATGACTTCTCCCAGAGCTAATTGGAGCCAGGAGTGAGCCAACCTTGACTCCAATCAGTGTGATGATATTGGATGTGTTGTTGACAGCTGTCCTGCCCTTAAAAAACACACACGTGTTTTGGGTTTACTGGTTTCAACAAGCACTGTCTGATGTGAACCATGCCTCGCAGAAAAGAGCTCTCAGAAGAGCTACGATCAAGAATTGTTGACTTACATGAAGATGGAAAGGGTCACAAAAGTATCTCCAAAAGCCTTGATGTTCATGTGTCCATGGTAAGACAGACTGTCTACAAATGGAGAAAGTTTAGCACTGTTGCTACTCTCCCTAGGCGTGGTCGTCCTGTAAAAATGACTGCAAGAGCACAGCGCAGAATGCTGCATGAGGTAAAGAAGAATCCCAGAGTGTCAGCTAAAGACCTACAGAAATCTCTGGCACATGCTAACATTTTTGTTGACACATCTACAATAAGGAAAACATTAAACAAGAATGGAGTACATGGGAGGACACCACGGAGGAACCCATTGCTGTCCAAAAAGAATATTGCAGCACGTTTGAAGTTTGCAAAAGAGCACCTGGATGTTCCACAGCACTACTGGCAAAATATACTGTGGACAGATGAAACCAAGATTGAGTTGTTTGGGAAGAACACACAACACTATGTGTGGAGAAAAAAAAGGCACAGCACACCAACATCAAAACCTCATCCCCACTGTAAAACATGGCGGAGGGAGCATCATGGTTTGGGGCTGCTTTGCTGCCTCAGGGCCTGGACGAATTGTTGTCATTGATGGGAAAATGAATTCCAGAGTCTATCAAGACATTTTGCAGGAAAACGTACGACCATCTGTCCGCCAACTGAAGCTCTGCAGAGGATGGGTGATGCAACAGGACAATGACCCAAAGCATACAAGTAATTCAACAAAACAATGGCTGCAACAGCACAGAATATACCTTCTGGAGTGGCCCAGTCAGAGTCCTGACCTCAACCCGATTGAAATGCTGTGGCATGACCTTGAGAGAGTAATTCACACCAGACATCCCAAGAATATTGCTACACTGAAACAGTTTTGTGAAGAGGAGTGGTCCAAAATTACTCCAGATCGTTGTGCAGGTCTGATCTGCAACTACAGGAAACGTTTGGTTGAGGTTATTGCTGCCAAAGGAGGGTCAACCAGTTATTAAGTCCAAAGGTTCACATACTTTTTCCTCCCTGCACTGTGAATGTTTACATGTTATGTGCAATTAAACCATGGCAACATCTAATGTTTGTGTAGTATTATGTTCAGCAGACTGTGTTCTTCTATTGTTGTGACTTAGATGACGTTCAGAGCACATTTTATGCCCAATTCATGCAAAACTCCACGTAATCCCAAGGGGTTCACATACTTTTTCTTGCAACTGTATGTGTACATGAACACATAGGGTAACACAGAGGAAGCATTAAGAGGCAGTAAAAAAGGCCTGCAAAGGTGACTTTTTTAAAATCCTGTGTACACGAGGCCTTAATCATAGAAAACCTTGTATTCTGTGAAAAAAATGCAAGAGGTTTTGTGAATGGAGGATGGCAAATGACTATGATCGCTGTATGCCCCATATGAGAGCCGCAGCTGTAACGTGTCATTGCTTAATGTTGGGCAATGACGGGGATGAATGATAAGAAAGAGTTTTACATAACACAGCAACCATCCACACAAGTAGGACACCCCAAGGGAATGGTCAGCCCTGTCACATTCATGGCGTTGACAATTAAAATCCATCTGGTCCATACGGGGAGCACTGAGGGAGAAGAGTAGGGAATCCTTGAACCGGCTGCGGAGATGCTGACAGCTCAGCAACCCCGGAGGTAAGTACAGTGGAGACTGAAGGGGGGTGGTGATGGTGTTCGGTGT